CGACGTCGTCGTAATTGCGTGGGCAAATTTCTGGCATCGTTCCACAAATTTTATTCGTGAAACGTCATCGCTGCATCCGGCATAGCAAAAATGTCCCTAAATAATCAATAATATATTAGCGTTTAATCATAATATGACTTTGAACGTGAAAACTTTATCATTGTCTCAAAGATCCTGTTATAAATTTTATTGCTTTGCAAAATTTTGAAAACATATTAGAATTCAAATTCAATTCCTACCCAGGATACCAATTCTCGAATCTATCTGCGTTTTTAGGAGTCAAAAGTTGAATTTTTGAGTCCTATCCATAACACCGAGATATTCTCAATTATCTGTCAGTTTAAGAAAATTATGGATTTACCATAATTCACTCAAAATTTGATTCACTCTAAAGAGTAGTACTTAGGCACGTCGATATAGCTAATTATGAAATCTTACTTGTGTCAAATACAAAAATTGTTAGTTCTTAAAATTTGTTCAGCCTTGACCTTTTTGGTAACAATTTCAAGTTTCTCTCATTGAAAAGGATTCCAGATTTCTGTTGGAATCAATAAATTTGTTCCAATACAATATCTTTTTCAAAAAGTACGTACAGTATAGTGGATAAACGTAGAACCAAACGTAAACACTCACCGGCCCAGTTCTTTGCTCTCGAAATGGTATATCTGAGTCAGGTACGTCTACGGATACGCCATGCGCATTGAGGGTAGATAACTGGTCGGTATTCTGAAAAACAAAATTTCCTACGTTTCATAATTTCTTTTCTTGCTAGCTGGATCAAACACACAAAATGAGCTGTCTCTTGTCATTCTCATACATATTTATACAAATTTCTAGAATTATTTCAAAAAATGTGCTTAGAAATTTTGTTGAATTGTGCTCCTTTTTTAAGCCTTAACTTAAATACTAGTTTTTAGCCTTAATTTTGGCTCTATTTTCTAACAATTCTTGATCTCTCTCTCCAAAAGCTGTTATCAAACTTACCAAAGTCAAGACATCATTGTTGATTTTGTAGTGCG